TTTTCTCTCTTTTTCAGGGACAATAAAAAGAAATTCAGTCATACGCTTTGATGGAGACGATGCGGGTGGTGACGTTGATGGAGACGATGCGGGTGACGAAGGTTGATTTTCGAGTGCTATTTATTAGGATAATTTAAGAAACGATGTTGTTTGTATTGGTTTTGTTTGTGAAACTTATATGTTCTGTGTTGTACAACTAAGTTTTAGCAGGTAAAAATATGGTTGATTTCTTTGTCGTATCTGTGCAAATCAAGTTGTTCAGTCTTGGTACAACTAAGTACAACAGGTACAACTAAGGTCTATTGCCTTGGCCAATTTTATAATATGAAAAATCAAAACCAAATTGAAAAAACCTAAAAAATGCATACACGATGGTAATGAAACTACACAACAAGTTTTTGACAAAAAATTTCAGATTTTTCTAAAATAATTAAATTCTTACACAAAATCCCACATTCATACACTAACAACCTTATACTTTCATGGTTACTTTGTAGTTTTGAACTAAAATTTTATAAATTTTTGAAATACTTGTATTTTGATAAATATAAATACACAGATACAAAGTAATGGTATTTTTATGAGGCAATACCATCGGTTCCACCCACAAAAATTAAATTAGAGTTGATAACAACTAAATTTACTAAATTCTCTATATTGTACAACTATGAGCAAAAATGTGCAACCGGGTACAACTGTACAACTAAGAACAAATTTGTGCTATTTTTTAATTATATTTTTCAAAATAACGGCGCCAGGTAAGCTATTTGTCAGATCTTTTTAGATATCATGAGATATCTTTAGATTCTTTCAGATATTTTTTCAAATATTTCACTTTTTTTTTAATCAAAACCCTTACAAACCTACATATTTGTCGGATCCTTTGGAAAATTAAGATTTTTTTTTATTTGTTCAAAACCCTTAGATTATATTCAATACATAGATTCATACTTAAAAATATTAAGATTCAGATTCAAAGATACATACATAATTAGATAGGTTTTTTAACCAAAAAAAAAACCTAGAAACATAGTTGTACGTAATCGTACCAGTTGTACCTAAACACTTAAATTTATACATCAAAATCAGAAATCCAATTCCCTCATCTCCTCTTGCTCCAATTCCCTCGCCTTTTCCTTCTCTTCCTCCTTCTTTGCTCTGATTGGTTTGGTTCAGATTGCTTTAGTCTTTTGGATCATCTAGGAGAAGATAATCATTCCCTTCTAGAACTAGATCCTCCTCCTCTAGTAGTAGTCATTCTCCTTAGTTCCTGCAACAACACATGATATTCAATATCAAACATTCAAAGGATAAACAATCTCATAATCTTTAGTTTTTAACTCATTTCATAAACCATCTATACCGAACAAATTCATCTAATCCGAATTGTAATCATACAACTAGTCACAATGGCTATTAACAGAGGCAATTTCAAATCCGAATAGTAATTCTAATCCAAATTGTAAAACCCTCACAGAGAAGAGGAGAACTTCTCGGAAAAAATCAAAACCTAATGAAATCCAACACAATCAATCGAAATTAGGAATCTAACAAATGAAATTCCATCAAAAATGCATCTGTTTCAAACAAAATCAAAGAGAACTACATATCAAACCCTCATAGAGAAGAAGAAATCGGAACAAATCAAAACTTAATTAAACCCAACACAATCAATCGAAATTAGGGATCTAACTAATGAAATCTTACCAAGAGAAGACACGCCGGAGTTCTCACGACGGATTCTTCGATTTCACGGTGGATTTCACGGAGAAGAAGAGAGAGGACGATCTTTGGATCAATAGAAACGAGTGAAGAGGGAGGAAGAAGAAGACGAAAGAGTATCGAGAGAAGAGAGAAGAAGAAGGAGACTAAACGAGATCGAAAGAGCTAGGGTTAGAGAGATTCGAAGGTTCACAGTCTAGAGAGAAAACTAAGAAGATGAAAGAGTGGCGTTGGTGAGTTAGGAATTTTGTTTCTCGATTTGGGAATTAAAAGATCCGAAACCCGACCCAAACTATTTGGATCTAAATCCAAAATCAGGTTGCGTCAGTAAATAAATCGAAAAGCCCAGTTTTATTTGTCTTTTACTATTTTTCTGAATCAACGAGATTATTATCCGGTTTTGTTCTTCTCCATGTAACCTACTTTTAGTGAAATTTCGCTTTCTTCTTCTCCCGGCTTCCATTTCTCGATTTCGCGTCCTCATAGGCGATTGAAACATCTCTCAATTTCCCTCAGATTCTAAATCTCAAGCGGATTTCAAGGAAAGCAACTCAAGAATTCAATTTGATTCCGTGTCAGTGTAATGTTGCTTCTCTGCTCTGTGTAGCTGCGGCTGATAGAATAATCTCTCAAAGTTGGAGTATTTCGTAAGCATCTTTTGTTATATAGTTGGAGATTTCATAAACAAAATCCTTAGTAGAATACTCAATTCCATTGGAGTTGAAACAACTCTCATATGTAATTCCCCAATTTCATAATCATCTTCATCACATGCTGCTTATAGCCAAAGAACCCTCAGAGACATTATCCTTCGTCTTAAGAGAGGTAACTCCTTATAATCTTTTTGTTTGTGTGTGTGAAGCATGGTTAAATAATGTTTGTATGATATTGTTCTGCTCGATAATCACTTTTTTGGACTGATGCAGCCAATTGCTCAAGTTGTGGAAGCTTCTCTAGAAGATTACGAGCAAGGTTTGAAAGCCTGCGAGGAAGCAGCCGAAATATGGATGCAGGTTACGGCTCCTAAGAGAGGCGATATTGGGAGACAGATTGGAGATGCATTAAGATCCAAACTTGAATATCTTTCACTTGAAATGAGAAAGATCCTTGCTCAAGGCATCGGAAAAGTCCAGGTAGGTTTCTTTACTCTTCAAAGCTTAGTTTTTTTTTCATTGATACATTTACATTTTAGCTAACTTTGTGACGCATTTTACAAATATTACTCTGCAAAACTTTTTTCAGGAAGTAATTGACATGTGTGATTTTGCTGTGGGTTTAAGCCTTCAGAATGTGAGTTCTTGCTTCTGTACACCTTATTTATTGTCCTAGATTTGTTATATCTTCCTTAAAGGCACTTGGAGTTGGAGTTTTAGCAATTTTTTGGTCGCTAGAAAAAATAAATGGCATATTGGCATTTCAACTAAAACTTATAATTCAAAACGTTATTAAAATCTAGTATTCATTTGTAAGAAATATAGGTTCATTGGAGTAGTTCCGAATCTTTGTTGTCGTGCTACTTTGGGTAGTTCATCTCGCTCCGGCGAGAATCAAAGCATTGATTCCTTCATCAACGTCACAAAGTCTTCTGACCGTGACCAATCTTTCGTCCTTCGAATCTTTCGAGGATGATCTCTCGATTAATCTTGATCTCACATGTGCCAATGCGCTCCCAAGCTTTTGGCTCACACCTCTCTTGGTTTCAAAATCGATGAATATCTATCTTTTTATGGCATTGGGGAATGCCTTCTATTGTAATGCTTTAAACTTTGGATCACTTAAATCCTTCTCTTTGTACTTGTTCTTGTTTGAATGAATGAAAGCAAGTGTTTGACAAAAAAAAAATATATATATATAGGTTCATTGGAGATGTCCTGTTCTAGTTGTTTATTAAAACAGATAATTCTTCGAATCTTTGCACATAGTCAGCAATTGTACCCTTTTGTTTAATGCAAAATAAGCTTTGACTTGGACCTGTAACTCTCAAATTACCAAATCTAAGAAGCAATCTGTCTTTAAAGTGAAGCCAATTCTGAAATGGCAACCTAGTAATCTCCCAATGGTACCGGTCCAAGGCAATACTCTTTAAATGAGAAAGAATTATATTTCTTTAAATTGCAGTATTTAGATTGAAATTGGCTTTTTTCCCTTTTATTGGTAAAGAAAATGGAAACAATAGATATGGGTCTACTACACAAGCAGATGGCCATCATCAAGAGAAGCAGTTCATTAACACCAGCTTTTGTGGCTTTATCTTAGAAAATCTAGAAACTACCTGTCTATGCTCTTTATTTCTCTTCCTGATTCCATGACGCAACACATGTTTCAGTATCACTAACTAAAACGATGGTCTACAGAACCAGCGAGGTTTGTCACCATTCAGGACCACGAAAAAGTCAACGAATAGAAAGAGAAGGAAGCAATAATACCTGAAGGCGCATAAGCAGATCAGAGCTATGTTTCTGCAGAAAGAGAAGGAAGCAATAATTCTTTCTCATTTGATAGCAATCTGTTGCTAATGGAGAAGCTATCACAATATCTCCAACTGATATATTGCAGCCTTCTTGAGCACACCAACTGTTTGCTCACAGGTTTAGAAGACAACCAAGTAGAAGAAAGCAGAGAAAGTGCTTCAAATCTTGGTGATTTAAGTTCAAAAACCAGACACAGGGAAGAGTTTTGGTACACGAACAACTTTGGTTCAAAGATACAATGGGAGTTGATACCAAAACACAATTTTTGAGGAGAATGCAGTTACTTATTCACATAAAGAAAACATTTTCAGAACCTATGTGGTGGAGTTTGGTGAACTTTCAGTCCATTAATGGAACTAGCGTGTTCGGATTAGTTCCTGATACTATTGATGAGGAAATCAAGTGAAGCCATTGCCATAGTCTTGCACAATTTTAAGGAACAAAAGTTTTTTAAAACATGGAAATTCAAGTACAAAGCCACGATAGAACAGAGTGGCAAGTGGGCCATAATAATGGATTATCTCAGGTGCTAAACAATGCTATATATGGAGATGTAAACCTTGGAGACGGATGAGACAATCTCATTTGTCAAGGCTGATGTGCCACATGAGGATGAGATATGATTTAAGAGGACTACTACAGTTTTTCTATGAGGATATGAAGTTCTACATGAAGCAAAAATGGCGATCTCAGAGACTGCATTCATTTTCATCACTTATGACGTTTGATTTGCAGACAGCTTCTATATCTAGGCCTGCAATGGAGTATATAATGGGTGCAAAGCTAGAATGGGACAAAATAGTGATTCCAATCACAGAAACTTTATTACAACAACAATTGTACATGAAGCAGAAGGCTGTTTCAACAACAGAGTACATTAATTTTTTAGGAGACGTCAATTGCCGAGAATACATTCTGCAGTTTTGGACTTACGTAAAACTGATAAGTCAAAACGTTATTAAAATCTAGTATCCATTAATTTGGAAGAAATATAGGTTCATTGGAGATGTCCTGTTCTAGTTGTTTCTTTCTACGTGGGAAGTTTAAATCTTCTTGAGTTTGGAGAAAGTTACTGACTCTGAGAAGTAAGTGCTTTGAATCCCACTCACTAATCCTAATGCCTGAGGATTGCACAACTCTATTCCTTGCACAAGAGAGAAAGCCAGACTTGATGTCGTCAAACCAGAGGTAGTAGAACCACCTGTGAACTGTCGCTTTTTGGCGACCTTAGCATTAACTTTCAGCTTGCTCGAAACACGCAGCCTATTGCTCCCAGCCTGACCAAGCAATCCATATCTGATACCTAATCCATCACCAAGAGAGCTGTCTTCGGGTGTACCAAACGCCATCCTGTTGGCCAACTTTCTCATGTCTGTCACTTGATACCTTTCTTTCATTTTTCTTAGACGGCGACCACCCCTTCTCTTTTTAGGCACAGAATAAGGAACATGAAGTGGCTTAGGTTGCCTTGCAGGAGGAGGCTCTTGCCACTTGTCAATATTCTTGCGGATTTCCTCCCTCAAAGCTTTCCCATTTGTTCCAGATGGATCTCCTCTAGTAGCGTCAACTCTTGCTGCCAAAGTCGATTTTGAAGCCAAGAGCCTGCTAGCGCGCATTCGAAGTTCAGGAGGCGTGCTTTGGAAAATATCTGTCTGCTCCAAATAACCCGCACGAGACTGTGACATTGCAGTAGAGAATCCGACACGGTTCTTCCTGTTGTGGCCAAGAACTAGAACATTACAAGCAGGCATGTTTGCAAGTGCCGATAAACCTCCAGCAGTTCCCATAAGCTTGGCTGCAACAGCACTCCCGACAATAGCAGAGAGATTTGGTGCGATAGATCCCATCTTACTTTCAACAAACTCAAGAACCTTTTTCCTTGCCGAATCAAGATCAATAGCGTGATCACAAGCGTCTAACGTCTTTCGTAGGATACTATCTGGAAGTGGTTTCCCTTTTGTGGTTAAAGCAGTAACTGAAACAGCAATAACAGTAGCTGGTTGAAGAAGGCCTTCATATCAACAAGATTTATATCTGTCTCATTGGCAATTTTTTTCACGACACGGGCGTAATCTATTGGGTCATGTACCAGCGACTCAAGCTCTGGGTACTTAAGTCTGTACTTGTCGCTGATAAAGTTGTGGACGATCACAATCTCATTCTCGATATCAGCTGAGAGCTGATTGCAATCAACGATAAGCTTGTTTTCCAATACAGTTCCCATCTCTGCTCCTCCATCCGAATCCTTCCCGAGAGCCTGTTCCAGTTTATGCATTATATCAGCGTATCTATGAGTTTCCAGTAGCTTAGAAACTCTCGAGAGATCATCATAGTTTAGGGTTTCTAAGACATCCATGTCAATATTGTCTTCCTCCTCTGTTCTAGCATCCAGTTCTGCTTCATTGTCAGATAACTCGTCAAGGTCTGCGTAGAAAGAATCTTCAAGAGTTGCCATATATCTGAATTTGATCACCGGTACCACGTCCGTGATTATGCTCTCTACTGTTAGGTCTGATGCTCCTGTCGATTCTCTCTTGTGAGAAGAAGACGATGTTTGGTTTTATATCAAAACCTCACCCATCGATATATATAAAAAAAAAAGGAAATTTCCTTTTTTCTTTCACTTAGGAAATAAAAGAAAATTTATTTATATATTACTGAAATTGTCATATTGATATGATTTTTAAAAACCCTTGTTTAATTCTCATTACTGAAATTGTCATACTGAAATTGTCAGGTTATTTTGACCTACCCTCTAATGGTATTGTGACTGTGTATCATATTCTCTGGTTGTGTGGTGATGATTCTCATTAGAGTTTTTATATTGTTTGTTATAGTGCAAGTGTATCAGCTTGGGACTAATAATGGGTGCAATTGTTGCGGTACTCTGTTTCTCACTTGTGTTATGTTCAGTACCTAGCTTTCAGCCATATAAACAGGTGACTTTGGGCTTTTATTCCTGTCTTTTTTTGTATGTTTCCCTAGTAAAATGTTGGTATACTTTTCTCTATTTTGCAGAAAGTTTAAGCCTCTTAAAGTCTCATAGACTGAAACCTAATTGTTTCAATTTATTGGAAGATATGAGTAGTTAGTTACTACCGTTATGTCAAAATATCTATTATCTCTTGAGGTTGTACTTTGTAGTGTAATGTTTATGGCCGTACATACTGCCCATCATTGCATTTCCGTAAACTGTTCGATACATACAATATTGTTACGATTAAGTAATTCCTGATTTGTCTCGTTGTGTATGTAATAGTATCAAATTATGTTCCAGTTTATAACATGTGACATCATGTCTAAGACGGAAAAGTCCAATACTTGCTGTGATTAAGCTTGGAATTGCAGTCATAGTGACATGTGTTAGTGTTTAGTGGCCATTTTTTCATTCTTTGGATGACTTCTTAATGGTAAAAAACTAATTATTTTTCTCTAGAACTAATAACGTTTGCTTTCTCCTCTGATGTGTTTGAATTTCTGCAGTGCATGAGAAATCAATCCTGATGCCTTTTTCTCTCTGTAAAACTATATTAGCTCTAAAAATCCCTGACCATTTCAATCATTTAGCCTACAATCTCTTCTCGATGTTTCCGCTTCTTTGCTTCCAAGACTTATCACCACTATTCACTAGTACATGTAGTTGAAGACAAGATCGAATTACATTTCTTTTTTTTTTTGGTCAACTAACATTTTTTTTCAGAGAGTATAAAAGATTTATGTGAGTCAATAATGCAAATCTCATAGATGCTTACTTGGAGTATTTCAGAAAGGAGCTTCATTCAGTGGAGGCTGAGAGTGCCAAGGTTTCTGAAGAAATTGAACGTCTTTCTAAGTCTCATGCCCAAGGTTCTATATTAGTTTTCTTCTACTGATCTAGTGTTGATACGATGAGTTTCTTACTGTTATTTTTATAATATGAGTTTTCTTTATTTTGATTCTACTAGGATGGAAAGGGATCTTGAAAGTCTTTTACTGTCACTGGATTCTATCTCATCTCAGGTTACTGGATTGAATACATTATTTCCTTCTAATTCCGAAGTAAATGTTTTTTTTGGCTGGAATCAGAAGGCTTAGTTTTGAGGGTTATGTGATTCTCATTTTAGGATGTGTAGAAGTCAAAAGAGAATCAACCAGCTAGCAGCTCAATGGAAGTATGTGAAGTGAATGATGATGACAAGTTTAAGGTGCGATGTTTTAATGTTTTGTTTCGAGGAGAAGAAGCTTGTGTGTGTTACTATCTCAACAAAATTTCATCTTTTAACAATATAATCCTCCAGTTATTCCAACTCTTTCTCTGCCTGATGTATTAGAGCCAATGTGGCAGAATGTACTTCCAAATGATGTATACATAGGAGGCTGCTGATTCTTTCAGGTAACTGGAATGAGATCGTAATGAGCATTCCCTTTCTTGTAAAGACATACAAAACAAGCAGGGGCGTCAAAGAACCACACTAAAGCCAACTCTTTCGTCTCCTCGTCTACCCACAAGATGTCCCCTGATTTCATCTGCGTATGGTAATGGGTAATAAAAGCCATCAGTATATTCAAATTCAAACTCCTTATCTCTATCTTCCATACGCTTCAGAGCAGAGTAGTTCGATTAATGCGACTCTAATGGAGGAAGATCAATCCTATTCCCACTAAACACATGTATAATATATAATCTGGATCGAGAATCTAGCATCAACAACCATTTACCGCAGCTTGCCAGGAATCGACTCCCTGAACAGTCTCTCTTTGTCTTGTAAACCACGTCTTCGTATGGATTGCACAGCAAGCAACCACCGTCGTCTGGAAAAAGCATTAGCCATGGAGTTCCGCTTTTCCGGTGAACTGTTTGTTTTGAACCAGAATACCAGTAGGAACAAACCATCTTAGCTCGATGGAAATCCACATAGCTCAAACGTTCAAACAAATATATGAGGATATCGAGAGTGAGGTTCGACCAATTGCTAGGGTTAGTAGTCTCCTTAGTGTTGATAGGTAATAGGTTTATGTTTGGTTTGATTCTTTGCAGCAAATTTCTATGATCGCTGTGGATGCTCTTCTTCAGACAAGACTCAGTTTTGGATCTACCTGAACGTAATCAAAGATCATAGCTTATGGCAAATCAAGCCATCTCTCCCGTACATGTATCTCAAACTCTCCTCCTCCTCTGGGCTTACACATTACAATTGGGCTGCGGCCTATTGGTTTCAATTTTATATTTAGTTTCAAGGTTCAATATTGTTGGGTAGCTGATTAGTGGAAGGACTGTAAAACTAAAAACATTATAAACAAACATTTTGTTTATACTTAGTGGTAAAATTTAATATTTGAATTTTTGAAAAAACGGGTTTTGGCAAATTTTTAGAATATTCATGTTTTCTTCTTTTTTTACTTTGGTTTGCAAGATAAGTTCCCGTCTCCGCTTCCTTTTGAGTTGAAGTTCTTATTTCTTGAAGATATGGACGATTTATGAGTTCCACTTGTCCGACGTATCTATCTTTCTCGTGTCGTGGATTTTCGGTTCGAGATCCAACATTAACATCACAACAGTTGATAGTTTGATGGAACATTTGTCCATGCTAATCCAAGAAGTCTGATGTGGACATTAGAACTACTCACCAAAAGGAGCTAACCAAACCAGCCATTTAACACACCATTCCATTCAAAACAAGCTTATAAGGATAATTTTTGTACAAGTCAAGTCATGATCATGCAAATGGCCTAGGCTTAGATATTCTCCAAGGAAGATATCCTAAGAAGAATAATGGTTTGGGTGAAATCATTAACCAACAAACCAAATTGCCGAACCGACGTGGGGGCTTATACGCACTAGTTTACAAGCAAGGCGAGCTGCCAAATGGAGATTCTGTTCAACCAATGGATCTTGGCTTTTTTTGCATCCGTACACCATATATTCTAAGGAGAATGATCAAAGAAATTCGTCTTTGGTTCGAGCTGGTTTAAGAGTTTACCATGGAGGTCACCGGGTGTAAATAAGGAAACTTGTGAACCCACCTTCTCATCAGCTGAAGCCATGACTTGGAGACCTTCTAAGATTAGAGGGTTCTCTTCTACATTTGCCTTATTTAGGAGTGTTCACACCTATATTCACACTCAACAACTACTTTCTCAAAACTGTCGTGTTTTGAAGCCTCCCTAGTGTATAAGAGAAACATCATCCTTTAGATATCCCAAAAAAATATCTTAACATTAAAATATTATTATTTTAAAACATTTCATATATTTAATCAAATTTTAATTTTAAAATCAAAATTAAACCATTTCGATGATGACATGTGGGATGAGAGTTTCAAGTGGATTTCTTAAGGGTTCTTCTTTTAAAACCGTTTCTTTATTCTCTTTCCCACTTTTTTTTTAATTATCTTAATGCAAAATATCTAATTTAGATATTTGCACCGCACCACACCACACTTGATCATATGGATTCAAAAGAGACCAAACTTGTCCTTTTTTAGAGTCAAATGCAATCAAGCTACAACGGCTCTTTCTCTCTTTGATTGTGCGTGTTTTGAAGACCCTCTTTTACATCTAGAGACTTCCAAAGGTGAGCTACATCCTCTCATAGCTCTCAAGATACGAGCCAACAAAACATTCCATATTTGATGATTTTCTCTTAAAGCCTCAAACGGCTATTTTCTTTAAATTTTAAGATTCTTTTCTTAATTAAGGATTTTATGACCGTTGTCTATGAGCCTATAAAAGCTCAACTCCGTTTTCATGTAAAGCACATTTTATCAATTTTGTTTTGTTTTTTTTTTCCATTCAATTAAATCCAGTTTTCTACAAAATGTTATCTTTGAGTTTGTGTTATTGTCTTTAGAATTTGAGTGGGTGATATATTTCTTTTCTATTGAATTTGCGGATTAGGATTATTTCTGTGAAGCAAACTCTCTTATTTCGTGTGTTTTAATTGAGAGAATCGAATATAATTGCCCCGAGTCAATTTTTTTTTATATTGTGTTGTATAATAATCTGGTATAGAAAATTTAATACCGTCCGGTTATAATAAATTCAGTTTCGGTTTAGACGGTTGAATTTTGATTCGGTTTTGTCCACTCGTAGACCGTAGTGTTGTTCTACACCGTAGATCTGGTGAAATTTTGCTTTCTTCTTCTTCTTCCGGCATCTATTTCTCTATTTCGCCTCGTCATAGACTATTAAAGGAATCATCTCTCAATTTTCCTCAGATTCTCTATCTCAATCGGATTCAATTTGATTCCATATCAGTGTAGTTTCGGTTGATAGAATAATCTCTTAACGTTTTTGAGTATTTCATATTTATATATAAAGTTGTCACTAACATTGCTTCAAATCTTTTATTGAGTTTCTTTGGATCTCAAATGTTATTTGGATTGTTATTCTCAGAATATATATTTTTTTCTCATTTTCATCACTGCACTTTTTTTTTGGACTCAACAGTATATTTTTCAAGGAATTTGATAAGCATCTATAGTAATGTAGTTGGAGATTTCATAAACGAAATCCTCAGCAGAATACTCAATTCCATTGGAAAAAAATGGAAAA